TAATGGGGGAATCCTTCCCGCTGTGGTATTGTATTATGACAGTGGAAGCCTTCTCCGCCATCGGAATACAAGGACCAGTGTTGCCGCCTATACCTCAAATGGCTGCTTGTATACAATAATAAATAATACCTCAATATGCTCAACCCTATTATCAGAACAAATCTATAATACTAAATAAAATAAATAAAAAACATAGCACCCCATCGTTGGTGTCAGTGGGAGGAATAGTGTCCCCATCATTGGTGTCAGTGGGAGGAATATTGCCCCATCATTGGTATCAGTGGGAGGAATAGTGTCCCATCATTGGTATCAGTGGGAGGAATAGTGTCCCCCCCATCATTGGTATCAGTGGGAGGAATAGTGCCCCATCATTGGTGTCAGTGGGAGGAATAGTGCCCCATCATTGGTATCAGTGGGAGGAATAGTGCCCCATCATTGGTGTCAGTGGGAGGAATAGTGCCCCATCATTGGTGTCAGTGGGAGGAATAGTGTCCCATCATTGGTGTCAGTGGGAGGAATAGTGCCCCATCATTGGTGTCAGTGGGAGGAATAGTGTCCCATCATTGGTGTCAGTGGGAGGAATAGTGCCCCATCATTGGTGTCAGTGGGAGGAATAGTGCCCCATCATTGGTGTCAGTGGGAGGAATAGTGTCCCATCATTGGTGTCAGTGGCAGGAATAGTGCCCCATCATTGGTGTCAGTGGCAGGAATGGTGCCCCATCATTGGTGTCAGTGGGAGGAATAGTGCCCCATCATTGGTGTCAGTGGGAGGAATAGTGCCCCATCATTGGTGTCAGTGGCAGGAATAGTACCCCCATCATTGGTGTCAGTGGGGGAATAGTAGCACCCCTTCATTGGTGTCAGTGGGATGAATAGTGCCCCATCATTGGTATCAGTGGGAGGAATAGTGTCCCATCATTGGTGTCAGTGGGAGGAATAGTGCCCCATCATTGGTGTCAGTGGGAGGAATAGTGTCCCATCATTGGTATTAGTGGGAGGAATAGTGTCCCATCATTGGTGTCAGTGGGAGGAATAGTGCCCCATTGTTGGTGTCAGTGGGAGGAATGGTGCCCCATCATTGGTATCAGTGGGAGGAATGGTGCCCCATCATTGGTATCAGTGGGAGGAATAGTGCCCCATTGTTGGTGTCAGTGGGAGGAATGGTGCCCCATCATTGGTATCAGTGGGAGGAATAGTGCCCCATCATTGGTAGTGGGGGGAATAGTGCCCCTTGTTGGTGTCAGTGGGAGGAATAGTGCCCAATTGTTGGTGTCAGTGGGAGGAATAGTGCCCCATCGTTGGTATCAGTGGGAGGAATAGTGCCCCATCGTTGGTATCAGTGGGAGGAATAGTGCCCAATTGTTGGTGTCAGTGGGAGGAATAGTACCCCCGTCTTTCGTGTCATTGGGAAGAATAGAGTCTTGTAACAGTGACAGAAACAGTTCCCCAGGGCCAGGTAAAGGCAAGCAAAGGGCCACAGTTTGGAGAGCACTGTTCTGGGGCATTTCTTATACATAGTTACATTGGTCCAAGCTGGCACAATGTAACTCTGTATATCCCACACCTGCAGAATCCCTCTAGGTCAGGGGTATCAAACTCAATTTCATGGCAGGCAGCATCAGCATTATGGTTACCCTCAAAGGGCCAGTTGTATCTGTAAGATGTCCAGAGCACCTCATCCCCCCTTACATCAGAAGTCAAGAGCCCCCCTCCCTTTCCTTACATCTTAGTGCACCCCCCTACATTGTGCTGCTGCCGGTTAGAGGCTGGGGGCGAAGCTGGATAGTAGAAAGTGCAGGATCTGGCAGAGGACCAGAGGAGGGCTGGAGTCTGCTGCCAAATGCCGAGACCAGGGGAAGTGAAGAGGAGGGGGTGCCACATCTGCACAGAGAGGCGCAGGATCTGTAGGAAGAGTAATGTCCTCCTCTCTGCTGCAGACTGCTGAGATGGGGGGGGGGGGGGGAAACCTCACTGCCAGACTAGGAAAAGCCTTTAGGAGATCCATCATATCCACCCAAAACTGAGGTCTCCATCCCTTAGTTGACATCCTACAATAAACATAAATGGTATTTTGGAAGGGGAAGTCGACAGCCTCACAAACCTTCCCAGAGCACTTCATCAATTATACTGCGGGTGTCGAGATGCTTGAACCTGGCTCTGTATTTCCAGCGGCCATGTTTTATGGCTCCCTCAGAGGGCCGATTCTACGTAAAGAATTTCAATAAATATCTTGACATTCTCCATAGTGCCGGACCCACCTTTTTACGAGCTGAATTTACCGGCCTCTCTGGGGGAGGGGGGGGGGGCCAAGGTCGTAATACAGCAGACCAATAATAATTGCCCCCCCCCCAAACCCCTCCCCTCCAGTGTGGTTTAAAGGCCAGAGATTGCAATGCACAAACTGAAGCATTTTCTGCCACAAAATGTAATGCAGTAAATGAATGCTTAAAATTTTACTGCTTTGGGACTTTTGGGTGATATTTTTTTTCTACTTCCTGGGGACAAAAACTAAAATTTTCAAGTAATTAAAGGGAGTTTCTAGTGTATTTTCCAGGATTCTTGCTGGACATCTGTGCCCAGCGTCTTTTTTTTTTTTTTTTGGCCATTGGATGACAACTAATAATGTATCCCTTACAAATGTTCAATAGAGTTGAATCAGTCCTGCGCTGGTCTCCTCGGGAGTATGAATGCGTATGTCTGCCACCATTGACACAAGAAAATCACCGGGAGCAAGACGTTTGAGGGTGTGCACAAGAAGTAAATTTCGGTATGTCACCCAGTGTCATGCAGCCACTTCCTGTAAGCCCAGGCTGTCATGGACACCCCCCCCCATGGGATGTCATGTCATCACACCGTGTAGCCCAGGCTGTCATGGTCACACCCCCCAATGGGATGTCATCTCATCACACCGTGTAGCCCAGGCTGTCATGGACATACCCCCCTATGGGGATGTCATTTCATCACACCGTGTAGCCCAGGCTGTCATGGACATACCCCCCTATGGGGATGTCATCTCATCACACCGTGTAGCCCAGGCTGTCATGGACACACCCCCCCATGGGATGTCATCTCATCACACCGTGTAGCCCAGGCTGTCATGGACACACCCCCCCCCATGGGATGTCATCTCATCACACCGTGTAGCCCAGGCTGTCATGGACACACCCCCCCATGGGATGTCATCTCATCACACCACACCGTGTAGCCCAGGCTGTCATGGACACACCCCCCCCCATGGGATGTCATCTCTCCATCACACCGTGTAGCCCAGGCTGTCATGGACACACCCCCCCCCAATGGGATGTCATCTCATCACACCGTGTGTAGCCCAGGCTGTCATGGACACACCCCCCCATGGGATGTCATCTCATCACACCGTGTAGCCCAGGCTGTCATGGACACACCCCCCCCCCTATGGGGACGTCATCTCATCACACTGTGTAGCCCGGGCTGTCATTGACACACACCCCCCATGGGATGTCATCTCATCACACCGTGTAGCCCAGGCTGTCATGGACACACCCCCCCTATGGGATGTCATCTCATCACACCCGTGTAGCCCAGGCTGTCATGGACACCCCCCCCCCCCCATGGGATTTCATCTCATCACACCGTGTAGCCCAGCTGTCATGGACACACCCCCCCCCTATGGGATGTCATCTCATCACACCGTGTAGCCCAGGCTGTCATGGACACCCCCCCCATGGGATGTCATCTCATCACACCGTGTAGCCCAGGCTGTCATGGACACACCCCCCCTATGGGATGTCCTCTCATCACGCTGTGTATCCCAGGTTGTCATGGACACACCCCCCATGGGATGTCATCTCATCACACCATGTGTGAGGACCCTTCAGCGTGGCAATAAGAACTTCTGATGCCATACTAGAAAAGGAAGGACCTGTAATGTCAGGTGACCAGCAAAAATGCTATTGGACGTTATAGCGCTTTTTTTTTTTTTTTTTTTTTTAAAAAATAAAAGCTGTTATACTGACCTGCATTGTGTAATGATATTGCCCTGAGCAGTCCCTTACCTCCCCTACCAGTGCTGTCTGTTCCTACCTCCCCGGCAATCCTCCTGAGCAAGCCAGCTTCTCTTGAGCCAGGCTGTGTATGTCCATAGACGACACACACAGTACTGGTGTGATAAGCCACACCCCCTCTTCACAGAAGTTTGACTGACATCAGCAGGGACTCTCAGTGTCTCCTGCGAGAGAAGGAAGTGAAGGGAGTGGTGCTGCAACCAGGACAGCGCTGGAGCGAAGAAAGGAGCCAGGAAAATGTTTAGGGATCGGGGTGGGGAAAGGAGGGGGGTAGGACATGTAGTGTTTTTTCTGTACCTTAAAATGGTTGTAAACTCTTATATATACTCAGTGAAGTGACTGGTGATACACATAGAGATGAAACAAATCCTCCTATGTAAGTTGTACCTGTTTATCTACATACTTCTCTACATCAATTCGAAGTGCAGAATTTATACAGCTTGTTTGAGATTTCAGAAAGCAGGGGGTGGGAGAGCTGAAATGACACTCTGCAGAGCTCAGTGAGGAAAGCTCTGAGAGCTGATTGGAGGGATGAGACGCCCCCCCCCCCCCCACACCCTTCACACACAGAGCTGAGCTCACAGGAACAGAGCTGAGGCTGTCAATCTGCTGGAGGTCCGAGCTGAGGCTGTCAATCTGCTGGAGGTCCCTCCCCTGTCACCATTTTTCTCTTGGTGTCAGGAAAACGTGTCAGAAGTGGCTCATACAGATAGCTTAAATGACACTTAGTGTTCTGGATTGGGGCAAGTACACACTATAGAGGGATGTGCTTTGTTCATATTGACACCCATTTTAATGCCGAGAATGCATTAAGGTAAAAAAACCTTTTGATTTTAGGGAAGTATTTGGGGAATCTTTATATCTTAGATGCTGGGTAGGGGGTGGGGAGGCTGGAGATGTACTTTAAGACTTGCCAGTACCGGGTCACAATAATGCTAAGCATTTATATCTTTTCAGGGATTCTGACCTATTCCTGCTGGATTCTCGGACAATCTGGGCTGCAGAGGAAGGCTGGCTGGTATTTGATATCACAGCAACCAGCAATCACTGGGTCCTCATCCCGCAGCAGAACCTGGGCCTGCAGCTGTCTGTGGAGAGCAATGATGGTAAGTGGTTGGCTGGCCATGAAACGCGAGACACTTTCTGAACCGTCATTTGTTTCAGTTAACCTATGACCCTCGCTTCCTGGGTGCAGCAGCTTTTACGTCAGTAATTCAAGACCTAGAATTACCTGCAGGCATTATCTGCGTGTGACCCCACTGGGGAGGATTTTACTTACTTCCTGTCCCTGTGACACCTCTACATGAAGTGAGGGGAGTGGTTGTCACCAGGGCAAGACCACCAGGGACAGCAATGAAGTGATAACTGAGCAAACAGACGCATGACAAGTGACCCCAGAGAGATCTTATAGAAGTGATTCCTGATGAAGGCTGCTTTATAGACACATATTCATTCAATCTAGATGATATTTTTCTTCTTTTGCTAAAAAAAACACTTTTATTCAGGAACTTTGTTTTGAGTGCAATCATATACCCTTTGCTGCATTGTATAAAGCCCAACGCCAGGAACATTTCAATCCATTCTTGCAGTGTTGCATACCCCACATTGCATGGGGTAAATGCTTGTTTAGTCTGGGGCAGTGCTCTCCAAACTGCGGCCCGAGGGCCAGATGAGGCCCTTCGCTTACCTTTTATCTGCTCTCTGGGCACTATTTATATCACACAAATATGAGACACTGTTCCTCCCTCTGATACCAACAATGGGGTATTGTTCCTCCCGTTGACACCAATGATAGAGCATAAATTCTTGACACCAGTGATGGGGCACTATTCCTTCCACTGACACCAATGATGGGATACTATTCCTCCCACTGACACCCGATGATGGGGCACTATTCCTCCCACTGATACCAATGATGGGGCACTATTCCTCCCACTGATACCAATGATGGGGCACTATTCCTTCCACTGACACCAATGATGGGGCACTATTCCTTCCACTGACACCAATGATGGGGCACTATTCCTTCCACTGACACCAATGATGGAGGCACTATTCCTCCCACTGATACCAATGATGGGGCACTATTCCTCCACTGACACCAATGATGGGGCACTATTCCTTCCACTGATACCAATGATGGGGCACACTATTCCTCCCACTGATACCAATGATGGGGCACTATTCCTCCCACTGATACCAATGATGGGGCACTATTCCTCCCACTGATACCAATGATGGGGCACTATTCCTCCCACTGATACCAATGATGGGGAACTATTCCTCCCACTGACACCAATGATGGGGCACTATTCCTCCCACTGATACACAATGATGGGGCACTATTCCTCCCACTGACACCAATGATGGGGCACTATTCCTTCCACTGACACCAATGATGGGGCACTATTCCTTCCACTGATACCAATGATGGGGCACTATTCCTCCCACTGACACCAATGATGGGGCACTATTCCTCCCACTGATAACAATGATGGGGCACTATTCCTCCCACTGATACCAATGATGGGACACTATTCCTCCCACTGATACCAATGATGGGGCACTATTCCTTCCACTGACACCAATGATGGGGCACTATTCCTTCCACTGACACCAATGATGGGGCACTATTCCTTCCACTGATACCAATGATGGGGCACTATTCCTTCCACTGACACCAATGATGAGGCACTATTCCTCCCACTGACACCAATGATGGGGCACTATTCCTCCCACTGACACCAATGATGGGGCACTATTCCTCCCACTGACACCAATGATGGGGCACTATTCCTCCCACTGATAACAATGATGGGGGGGCACTATTCCTCCCACTGACACCAATGATGGGGCACTATTCCTCCCTGACACCAATGATGGGGCACTATTCCTCCCACAATGATGATGGGCACTATTCCTCCCACTGACACCAATGATGGGGCACTATTCCTCCCACTGACACCAATGATGGGGCACTATTCCTTCCACTGACACCAATGATGGGGCACTATTCCTCCCACTGATACTAATGATGGGACACTATTCCTCCCACTGATACCAATGATGGGGCACTATTCCTCCCACTGACACCAATGATGGGGCACTATTCCTCCCACTGACACCAATGATGGGGCACTATTCCTCCCACTGACACCAATGATGGGGCACTATTCCTCCCACTGACACCAATGATGGGGCACTATTCCTCCCACTGATACCAATGATGGGGCACTATTCCTCCCACTGACACCCAATGATGGGGCACTATTCCTCCCACTGACACCAATGATGGGGCGCACACTATTCCTCCCACTGACACCAATGATGGGGCACTATTCCTCCACTGATACCAATGATGGGGCACTATTCCTCCACTGATACCAATGATGGGGCACTATTCCTCCCACTGATACCAATGATGGGACACTATTCCTCCCACTGATACCAATGATGGGACACTATTCCTCCCACTGACACCAATGATGGGGCACTATTCCTCCCACTGACACCAATGATGGGGCACTATTCCTCCCACTGATACCAATGATGGGCACTATTCCTCCCACTGACACCAATGATGGGGCACTATTCCTCCCACTGATACCAATGATGGGGCACTATTCCTCCCACTGATACCAATGATGGGACACTATTCCTCCCACTGACACCAATGATGGGACACTATTCCTCCCACTGATACCAATGATGGGACACTATTCCTCCCACTGATACCAATGATGGGACACTATATTCCTCCCACTGACACCAATGATGGGGCACTATTCCCCCCCACTGATACCAATGATGGGGCACTATTCCTCCCACTGACTCCCACTTTTAAGAGATTAATATTGTGAAGTACAGAATCTCTCTCTCTTCTTATTTTTGTGCTCAGACATATACTTTAAGGCTGAAAGTATTTTACCTCTCTGGGACGTGTCCTGTGTGCAGGAAGAGACATTATGAGGCCAGTTTAGTTGGTTCTAGGTGGAGCCAGGAAACTAGAAGCATCCACCCTGTAAAATGTCACTTAATTAATCTAGGTCACCTCCTACGCTGTCAGAGTCGGACAGTCGGATCGTCATTCATCCGAGAACGTGATATTCTGCTTAATCCCCGCGTGCTGAGGACGCCTCACCCTTCGAGGAGCTGAAGGAGCTTCTTACAGGAATAACCCACGTACATTCCTTAACCCTTTAAGACCACCTAACTCATATATGCAGCAGCAGATAGGTGGTCTTTAATGCCCTACGCAGCGCATAGGCATCGTTGGGCTGCCAATGTTTATCTGCTTGGTCCAAACCAAAGTTTGGTAGCCGGACAGACCGGCTTTCGATCATGTGACCACTATGACAGTGGTCACATGATCGCCAATCCTTCCTGACCCCCAGGCATTTAGAAACTTAAATCAGAGCTCCACCCAAAAGGGGAAGTACAGCTTTAAGGCTTCGTCCCACTCTCCCCTTTAAGGATTGGCACCATTGGGGAGCGGGGGTACTCGAATTTGACAGGTACCTGCGCCCACTTCTGATGCGATCACCTAGGCCATGGGTGGGCAACTGTCCCATGAGGCATTGCAAAATTGACAGTTACAAGCATGACTCCCAAAGGCAGAGGCATAATGGGACTTGTAGTTCACCAACAGCTGGAGGGCCACAGTTGCCCACCCTTGGCCTAGACGATTGGAAGCCAAAGTTGTCATCCCCCCCCCCCCTCCATTGACATAGTCTTTTGGGACATGTGGCAGGTCGCCATTCCCCATTCACAAAGTGCATCGCTACTCGCGCATGCGCAGTGGACACCTGGCTGTGAAAGGGGCACAGGACGGCCGGCGAACCCGGCTGGTGTGAAGGCACCGCGGGATCGATTTGACAGGCGAGTGTCTGTTTTTTTAAAAGTCAGCAGCTACAGGTTTTTTTGACTATTTTTATTTGACAATTTTTTTATTTATTATTATTTTTTATTGTTTATTTTATTTATTATTTTATTTATTTATTTTTATTTATTTTTTTGACTATTTTTTAGTATTTTTTGACTGGACCTCTGCTTTAAAGTGAAACTTTACACCATGCCAACTTGATTATTATTATACAGGATTTATGGCACCAACAGTTTGCTCAGCGCTTTACAATATAATGGGAGACAATACAGCAACAATACAGTTCAATACAAGAGGGTTAGGAGGGCCCTGATCCTGGGAGCTGACAATCTAGGACTTGATAAAAAATAATGTTCTTTAGGAAGGAACATACATTACCAATTAATAATTATGCTACCAAAATGTGTACTGTAAATTACCTCCAGCGTTTGTTCCTTTTTCTTCTCCTGCCTGCATGCCTAAGCTAAGGGCAGATGGATTCCAGGAAGTAAATGCTACATGAGTCATCTGCCCTTACTCAAGATGGCCATGGCTAGAAAAAGCTAGGGTTTTTTTTTTAAGTGATTTCTCAGCAAAATAAAGCATGGAGACATGGATGGAATGATTTGAATGTTAAAAATAAATGAAATGGCGTGTTTGGTTTGTGGTGTAGTTCCACTTTTGAAGGATCGAAGCTCGCCATCGTCGGATGTAAGCAGGACGCACTTACCATCACATGTGTTCTGCGCTAACCGCAGCAGATAAGGATCAGTAAATGGCGTCCGGAAAGCAGTTAAAAGTTTTTGTTTACTCATAAAAGAAAAAGAAAAAATGTCCGGAAAGGAACAAAAAAAAAAAAAAAAGAAAGAGAAAACCACTTGAGAGGCTGTGTGATAATTACCTAGGCATGCAGGACACGGCGAGACTTCTCCAATCCTCTGCTGTGCAGATGTCAGCCCCATGTGATTATACATCTCCAGACGGTTCTGTAGGAACCTTTTATACCCCAGACGGAGTCATGATCTAATATCTGACTTGATACTCAACCGCCTGCTCAGAGGTGCCCGAAACTGGAGCCCAGATTCTACAAGTAGCTTTGCAAAGGACTAATATTAATACTTTCTAGACCTTTTCCTGAACCCAGTGGTCCTACTTACGTCTTGTTCTCCTCCGTCCCTTCCTCTGCCAGAGCGTTCGACGATACTAGTCCTTTCTCGCCGGTTTTGCTGCCATCAAAGTCTACCT